CCCCCAAAACCCCAAAACCCCAAAACCCCATATAAATACTCTTCGTTGAAATCTGAAAGAAAATTATAATTTAGAATTACAATATGAAGGACAATACAAAAGGTATTCTTCTGATTGCTGCAGGCACGATAATGCATCTCTTCCTTGGATGTTTCTTCTTATGGGGTAATATTGCTGTTTATGTGACTTCTTACTTACATAAGCATCATGAAGATATCTCACTAGATGACACAAGTATCATATTCCCAATATCAATGGTGGCTTCTGCCTTGTTCACTCCGATTGCTCCATTTGCTATGAAAAAGTACCCACCATGGCTGTGATGCATATTCGGTGCATCTATCGCCATTACGTGAGTATTCTTTTCATCTTTTACAAGCAATTTGTGGTTGTTCACATTCTTGTACGGATTCTGATTTGGTCTGGGAATTGGACCCTCATACATGTGACCAATTATCGCAGGATGGGAATACTTTCCGAACAGAAAAGGATTAGTTAATGGTATCATTGTTGCCGGTTTTGGATCAGGTTCTTTTATATTCTCATTTATTGCTGTTGCTATTGTAAACCCTGATAATGAGCTTCCAAGTTTAGAAGTGTCTGGAGGTAAGATTTTTCCTCCAGATAGCCCAATACCAGACAGGGTCCCTCTAATGTTAAGAGTAATATCATTGATTTGGGCAGCACTTTGCATCATAAGTATCCCTTTTATCAGAAGCAAGAAAAAGCGTAGCATCCCTGTCCAAGAAGTTGAAAGCAGAAGGACATTACTTATCAACACGATTGATTCAACTGATGCTGAAAGTGCTTTAGAAGCTCCTAACAATAACCTGGTTTCAGAAGAGAGTATCCATAAAACAAGACTGAGAGAAGCAATTTTTAGTTGGAGGGCTTTGCACATATGAATTATGATGTTCTCTTCTTCATTGTATCCTCTTTACTTGGCTGCTAATTTCAAATCTTTGGGACTCCAAGAGATTGGCAGTGACCACTTCATTACAATTGTGGGAGCAATAGGAGCAGTCGCAAACGGGATTTCAAGAGTTGGATGGGCAACCCTATTTGATTACTTTGGATTCAAGAAAGTGTATGTTTCCATAGTAGTGTTGCTTATTATTAACGCCTTCACTCTGACATTAATATCAAGTAACAAAGTACTATATCTGATCTGGGTGGCAGTATCTTTTACATGACTTGGAGGCCATTTCGCTATATTTGCACCCATGACAGCTAAAGTATTTGGAGGCAAGATTGGAAGCACTGCATATACTTTCTTGTTTTTTGCATTCGCAATTTCGTCTGTGATAACATTTGTTCTGACAAAAGAGAGTGGAGAAGGAAAAATTTCAAGAGATTTGTTGTTTTATATCTTCGGAGGTTCGTGTGTCGTAGCACTACTCTTTGCATTGTTTTTCAAAGAGACTCTTTTTGTATCGTCTAAAGCTTACCGAAAGACCAAAAAGGATGTGTCGAATTATGATATGCTTGAGTAAAATGTTAAATGCAAAAGATTTCACAACACGGCAATTATAGATAAAACCTTTGCTTCCACGTTAGAAAATTGTCGACATTTCAATCTTAACAATATGTATTGGGGTTTTGGGGTTTTGGGGTTTTGGGGTTTTGGGG